ATGTGACAAATTTGACGCAGGAGTTCCGACTAATCGCGCACAGTCACATACACACCCAAACAATGGAAGGACTGTGGATGCTACTCAAACGGACAAGTTGCCACCGATTGGGCACCAGCCGCGCGCTATTGCCGTCATATTTGGGAGATTTCCAGTGGCGCCACTCCCACAAGCATCAGATTGTCGGCCAGTATATGGAACTCCTACGTCAAAATTGTCACATCTAACCCTACCCCTAACCGTAATCCTAATCGTAACCCTAACCCTACCCCTAACCCTAACCCTATCCCTACCCCTATCCCTAACCCTAACCCAACCCCTAACGCCGCTAGCCCTATCCCAAACCCTACACAACCGTATGATGACTACGCAACCGTACACGCACCCGTATGATGATAGGTAAGTATGTCATTTGATTCGTGACTTTTCCGCTCAGTGTTTGCAATGCAGCCAAGGGAGAGAACTCTCACTAAGCCGATCGGCGGCTTTCCAGCTACCGGCCTGTATTGAAAGAAGAGCCCTAGTAAGTAGTAGTAGTAGTACTAGTACTTAGGTCAAATTTTAGGTTGGGCTTAACCCTAAACATCTACAGCTGCCAGTTCAGTAATCGGTACACCATTATTGCTAATCTATGTCGGAGCTGCTGGTCTGCCTGCTATATATGCCAGAAATAAATCCATCCTAATTTTACATATCATTGAGACCCTGTAACGGTGGGTTTTTCACCTGGATAATTTGGGGCCGTTATTTGGAGGAGTGCCAGCATGTTTAAGAGTCAACTAATTAGGGGCTTCCTTTAAAGCCGGAGTGCGTCTGCCTGAGAGGCAAGTAACCAACAGTCTGCATACAGATAAATCAGATGTGTAAAATGGATGTGCATGCAACACTCAAAAGTTCTACAAGTCTAAAGTCCAGAAGTGGGCGAACAAGGCTATCTTCCGAATAACGGTCCCAAATTATCGAGGCAGAAAATATACCCTAACAGGGCCTCAGTCACGTGTCAATTGCGCACTTCCGGCGGCTTAAATTGCGCACTTCCGCCACCGCCGAGAGTATCCCCAATGCCGCGTGAGCGGCGTGGATTGGGGCTAAAACTAGATGGCTGGGACTCACAAGCAGCAGCTAACACATTTCCTGCAGCTGCCTTGATTTTATTTGCTTGTGAGTCCCAGCCATCTAGTTTAGCCCCAATCCACGCCACGTGAGCGGCGTGGGGGATACTCTCAGCGGTGGCGGTATAGTCCCCGGAAGTTCGCAATTCGGTGGTGGCGGTATAGTCAACTGACACGTGACCCTGAGGGTATATTTTCTGCCTCGATAATTTGGGACCGTTATTCGGAAGATAGCCCGAACAACCAGAACTTTCTGCTGGACTTTACAACCAGTGAACACGAAGAAGAAGAAGAATCTTTTGAAGGCAAATTTGTACATTTGGTGATAATTCTTTTTTTTTTTTAAATTAAGTATCTGCTGTGAACATTTTGTGACACAAATAGTTATTTGTGGGTTTCAGAAAATTCTTCCCGAAGGTTACGAATACAAGCTGTGTGAGTATTTGCCCCTAGATCGGGAGGATAAGTTTCTGGTCACGCTTCGGATGACTCTGACGACACAAGAAGAGGCCTTAGAATGGAAACGACATTTTGAAGAAAAGAGCCTTACAACACATGTGAAGGACAAAACGTTTCCAAAAGTAGAGAGAGTCAGTATTTTCAAGGTTAGTGTTGCAAGTGATGTTCAAATGTCAAATGTAAATCTTTCACCCTGGCAGCACTTTGAAATGGGTTATGACCCTGTTGGAATTCCAGGAAAAAATGTTGATTTTTTTTTTTTTTCAAAACAGATCACTTATTTTGTTTGTTTGCATTGTTTGTTTGCCCATTTCTGGACATTGGCTTTGTTCCAGGACCTGAGCTTTTTGCGTGCATCCATTTTACAGACCTTGCTCATATGTATGCAGACTGTTGGTTCCTCGCCTCTCAGGCAGATGCACTCTGACTTTGACGGAAGCCCCCAATTAGTGGTCTCTTAGGACATGCATGTTGGGGAGGCAGTGGGTCTATTCTTGTTTTCCCAGTGCCCGAACTGAAATAATTTTGGTAGATTTTAAATTCTAAATTTTGCCTGGGCAGCACCGCTAGTCTACTCTTTTAGATTTGCAACTGCCAAGTGGTTATTTTTACGTTTGCAACAATACATGGGCGTCCGATCTCACTACTCAGAGACCAATGGAAATCCACGTGAAAAAATCCCACCCTCACTGGGGCTTGAACCTGGGACCTCCAGCATTTAAGACCACTCAGCTAGATTGCTAGTCCCATACCAACCAACTTTAATCACCTACTATAGCAGGCATGTTAGGTTACATGCGATCTGCTTTTAAGTTTCCTAAATACTCGTAATTCGTTGTTTACCTTTTACTAATTTAACCTTTCTTCACACTCTTTTAAAATAATTTTCATTGTTTAAGTTTCATGAGTTCTTTTATTTCTGTCACCAGGCTCAGTACAGGTGCCAGTTTTTTGATCGTCGGAAAACAAAGAAAAAGCTTCCAGAGAAATCCAAGTTTCGAGATTGTCGGAGCATTCTGTTTATCAACATAAAAAAGTTCTTCAAGAATACGGTGTAAGTTTCACCTTTTCAAGTCAGCCATTTGAACAAATAAAAACAGTAATAAATTAATCAAGATGACCTACCAGTGAGGGGACATGGAGAATATGTTGTTAGGACTGTGACAGACAACTCAGTAAAATAGATACATGCAGTCAATTGTTCAGAGCTTGACTGCTCGTATCAGGATCAGCGAACAAGGTCTGTTCAAAACGAATTTATACTTTAAATTCAAATTCTGGAACAAGACTAAAGTTAAGAAGTGGACGAACAGACAGAACTTTCCGCCAGAGTTTACAGTCGGGAACGCTAAGAAGAAGAAGAATTTTAAAATAAAAGACACTTTGGTGGGTTTTTTGGGGGGAGGGGGGGGGGGGCTGAGTGGTCTCGAGGTATGGTGTCCCCCTCGAGTGCTGGAGGTTCCGGGTTATAACCTCGGTGAAGGCTGGGATTTTGTCACGTGGACTTCTAGTCATTTCCCCTGCTCTCTGGGTAGTCAGATCGGACCCCTTATGTATTATTGAGCATGTAAAAAATCCCTAGGCAGATCGAAATCGAAAAGATTAGATTAACGGCGCTGCCCAGGTAAAATCTGGAGTTAAAAATCTACCCAAAATATTTTAGGATCCTTGCTGGTGCAATGGAGTTTGTGCACTGCGCTGAGATTCTTCAGACTCAGGCTTGAGTTAGAAGAAGAACAGAGCACTTATGGGTTACACCCGTGTGCCATGATGTTGATCCATGGAATAAACATAAACAGCAAACTTTGGTAGTTATTTTAATGTTTGGTCACTACGTGGACAGCCAAGTGTGGTGACCACATTGGCTTCCCCAGTTGTATTAGAATTCATGAAATTAATTAACTGATGTTATTATTATTGAGATGTCCAGTAGGCATTTACAAAAGGGCAGGCACTAAAGTAAAATATAACTATATGAATGTACAACACATCACATTGATATCTTTTTCTACTTCATCCCTCTGAAAGAGATCGGCACATGCCGACCTACCAGACTGTGGTCAGACTTCACTATGCTCATGACCATCCTTTGGACACAGCAGATGTGCTCAGAAAACGGCAGCTAAATGAAGACATCAGATACAGGTTTCTGGAGATGTTCAGGCAGGGAATGAAACCCAAAGATGCCCTGGACAAACACAAGAGGGAACTGTTGCAAAACCTGGGGCCAGAGAAGTATCGCCAGGTTGTTTGTGATGGGTATTATGTGCCAAATGTACCGAAAGCTTACAGGTAACTCTTTTATGCAAACGTTGACTGTTTTCTTTCTTTCTGTCCCTCTCCCACCCAGTGATGTTGCTGATGTTTTTATGAACATAAAGTAAAAAGTAAAGGACGCTTTTCCATGCCTTTTAGGCGTATTGGGTATAAAGGGCTGAACCTTAATTTTATAGACCAAACAGCATTTGGTGAGTGATGTGGTCAGCATCATGCTGGCCGCCTTTACTTCCAAGGACTGTACCTAGTACCCACTCAAGGCTGGGTTGACCTAGAAGCCAAGGTCATTTTTGAAAAAAAAAAGTCCGGCCTCTGTCAGAAACCGAATCCACAACCTTCCAATGCACAAGCGAGTGTCTAGCTGCTAAACCCTTATCTATATAATTCATGCAAATTTAGTTCTGTAGTCTGCCTTCTTGGAAATTATTGGTTTTGTAGCCTTCATTTCTTTATATGAGTTCCCAGGCCTCAATTGGGAGGAAGAGGAATAGACACTGTTGCCACCCCCCTCCCCCCAACATGCGTGTAATAAGAGGCGACTAATTAGACATGCTTTCTTCAGAGTGTATGTGTCTGAGAGACGAGGAGCCAACAGCCTCTGTACAAATATGCCAGATCTGTGAAACAGATGTGCACACAAATGTCAAGTTCTGGAAGAAAACTTAAGTCCAGAAGTGAACAAACAGCCAGAACTTTCTGCCAGAGTTTACAGCCGTCAAACAGGAAGACGAAGATGTTTCCTTCATTGTTTGCTGGTTTTACCTGCAAGACGTTTTGCTTTATGTTCTCATAGTACATGGAAATTTTGACGCTAACTGTAGATAGAGATATTACTATACTAAGAGAGTGAAGAGTCTTACAGAAGTATCTAGAAATTTGCATGTGTTGTCTAAAATATTGAATGTCTCAAAAATATTGAATGTGTCAAAAATGTTGGATGTGTCAGAAATGTCAAATGCGTCATAAATGTTGGGTGTGTTGTCTGAAATGCTGAATGTGTTGTCTGAAAGATTAAAATATTATATCTCTGCTGTACACAGAAACACATTGCAATTCTGGTGACAACTGTAGATGTTGGCACTTCTGTTGGCTGCTTTATGCATTATCCTTTTTTCTAGATATTCATGTGACTAATTGTTTGTTAACTGGTTTTTAAACGAGACATTGAGGGACATTTCTTGTGATTTTCACTGGCACACAGGAATGGAGCAGTTATAGGGTGACCCCTTTGCAGTGAAGTTGACATCTCAACTACCAACTTCTGTACATAAAAACAGCATAATTAGCGTCCACTAGTTCAAAGGAGTGCGGCAAGGATGTATTTCAGCACCTTTATTCTTACCCACTTTATAGTCTGGATTAAGACAATAATAATTAAATTTAGTAGCAGAGGCCAGTGAACTCCGACTGAGCATTTGATGATCTAATCTTCACTGTCACTGCCTATCTGTCCCACACATAATAATCATATGCAAAGTAAATTAAATGCACTTGATGAGAAGTCACAACAATCAGGTATAACAATTCATAGGGGAAGGAAAATATAATCACAGTAAATCTGACAAAGGATAACCCATTTTTGGGGGGGCAAAACCTCACTTCAGAAGGTGGAATCATACACATATATATCACTGTAGCCAAAGTTGGGTGAATAGACAGAGAATTAAAATAAGAAAATAAATGGCAAAAGGAGCTTTCATAGTAGTAAGAAAAGTGTGGAAGTCGAAAGAAATCAAACTAATACAGAACTTTGAATACTCTAACTTGAAATAAGTATTTTTGAATGGATCAGAAACATAATGGATGTCTAAAACAGTTACTAATAAATAGATATATTCATTAGTTAGTGCTTGGTCAGAATAGAGAAAAAGGTACATATGATTTTTATGTGTACTACCATAATACCATTTGTGTGTGGGTATTATCTAAGTAGATCATGTCTGTTTCAGGCTGTACTATCAGATACATGGCAAGGGAGTGTCTGCCAAAACAACAACTAAGAGATCCTCGAGACATAACCCCAATCCTGACTGGATTGCCTTTCAGAACTTTCCTGATGGTACATCTGCTGACAGTGATGAGGATGTCGATGCTGCTGAAGATGGGGAAGATGTTGATGACAGCGGGGATGAAGGTACAGTTGATAATAGTGGTGAAGATGAGAGGATGCAGCGGCATCTGGAGGTCGGGATGTCTTGCGAAGGAGCTCCAGACCATCAAGATGACCACATAATTCTAACCTCAAAGATGTGTGCCAGGGACATGGCTTTGACCCACAACTTGTCGACCACCCAGAATAATATAATAGGTTCAAAACCTGCCACAACCAGTGAAGCCACTCACAATATGATTCCTCATGACCACCAACAGTTAAAGCTGGATAACATCCACATCACCTACTCAACTATCCCTCCCCTTAACACATTGTGTGCAGATGCCAGAGGGCACAATTTGCAGCTCAGACTTTGCCAGGATCCTCAGTTTGTAATATACTCCCTGGCACGGAGATGTTCAGCATCCCACAGACAACTTGGGGGAGCTTTAACATAGCGCACCAACAGACAGCAGCAACAAACATCCAACAACACCCCAGCCTTGGGTTCCAAGATTTAACCCACCACAATCCTACAGCCAGCTACATGATTCAGCCTAATTCTGAATACCACAGCACCGGCAACCACTTAGTTCCTGCACAGGAAAACATAGATCATCATATCCATCATCCAGATACATTCACCCATCCAATATCCACAGTTATGAATATTGCTGAATCCAACTCAGGCCACCAGTATTCTTCTTGGAACCACGCAAGGCCTCATTATAATGTAGATATGACCCATTCACATCCTCAGCCACCGGATACAAGAGAACAGACCAAATACTGCTGCCCAACTGCACAATGAGCCTAATTTCAGCTTCTAGAAAGTTACCTATCAAGAAAGCAGTGAAGAAGACGAAGAAGAAAGTTCTCAAGGATGTGAATATGAAACATGTAACCAAACGATGGATGGATAAAAAACCTAAAGTTGAAGCAGAGACTCAGAATTTAGCATCAGAGGTCTTGCAGACAATTTTACTTACAGATGAAGCTGAAAAGTTAAAGGTTCGACTTCTGGCTTTTTTTACTGACCTTGAGTCTAAATTGGTGTCGAATCCAAAGTTATTTGTACCAGGGGTGAGACACTTTCTGAATGCAGGTGACAAGGCTGAAAATGAAATCCAACTGGTTTCCTTATTGAAAGACTTTGGAAAAACAGAACAAAGTATTATCAAAGATTTGGAAACAAAAAGAAATGAATCAAGAGGGGATCACAGTACCCAGACAAGACTTTCTGGTCCTGTGTTTAAACTGGGAAATGTTAAATTAAAAATTCGAAATGCCAAGTCTGATAGATGTATGAACAAAACAACCAACATGAACCGAACGTCTCAATCTCAGATTGTACAAAAACGAAAGTCAAAAGTAATCAGAAACTCTTTATCTTCAACAGTTTCAGCCTTACAGTCTAGTATTGTTAATGAAATTCTGTTGCCTTACAAGCCAGAGCAGAAAAATGGTTGTGATTCAAAGAATAAAACTACTCAGGAATACACAAAAAAACAAATTTCTAAGGACATACTTTTGTCTGCCTGTGGCAAGCAGGTTGAGAAACCACTCAGACGATCATTTAGAAAAAGGCAGACAAATTCTGCTTGTAAACAAAAGAGTAAGGGAAAATGCAAAACTAAAGAACAGATAACTCCTGACAAACAAAATGTCTGTACAGAGTTCTTTCAGCCTGCATGAAGTTCAAGGAGAAGTTACTCTTGGCTTCACTGACCATGCACTGACTTACTGTAAAATGTACATATATCAGACGGGCTTCGTAATCATCAGACAGATTATTTATAAATGGTCACATGACATGCTAGCATTAATTTTTGTTTTTAAACTTCCATTGGCAGGGGTTTCTTGAACATTGTCACTATAAAATGCAATATTGTGTGTATTTATTAATTCTCAAGGATTCACAGTCATGTACTTAAACTGGCTCTGTGTCTTCTTCTCTTCCACCTTGTACCTCATCGAAGTGTCGGAGGGAGATGTAATGTTCGTTGATTGTCTCTGTCAAGAGCACTATTAAGACTGATGTTCATTTTTTTAAGGCTGTTCTTAATGCCATCACTCCATATTTTCGGAGGTTTTCACTCGCTCTATACCCGTTGTAACGTTTTAGTGTGGCTCGCTGTGGTGGATAGTACCAGGGCATTCTTGTTAGGTGTCCAAACCACTTCACTTGTTGTTCTTTGATGACCTGTAAGACTAGCTTTATTCCTAGCATTCGTCTGATTTCATGATTTCGTATTCTGTCTTTCCTTGAAACTCCTGCAGCTCTTCTAAGGCATTTAATCTCTGTTGTCACAATTTTACGTTCATTGGAGGATGTAAGTGTCCACGTTTGACATTGATAGCAAAGTGTTGGCCAAAAAATAGTTCTGATAAGATTCACTTTAGTACTCCGAGGTATCTGCTTGTGTGTCAACAGGGTAGATAGTTGACCCATTACTTGATTAGCTTTGGCACATCTGGAGCTAATTTCTCTGTCCAGTTTTCTGTCGGATCCGAAAATTGCTCCCAAATACTTAAATTCCTCTGTTTGTCTCAGGGTGTTGTTTTTTAAAATTTTATTTCTAAATTGTCTTTATGTCTTCCTGTCATCATTGTTCATTGTCTCTGTCTTCATGGTGGTAATTTTCATATTATATTCCTCCCCTGTTTACTAATTTGATTTAGGTGGTTCTGTAGGCATTCCATATTTTCTGCTATGAGTACCTGGTCGTCGGCGAAAAGTAATTCTGTAATAACTTCTTCATGATTAAAGTTCGTTTCTCTACATATGGTATCCATGTATGTTATAAAAAGAAGCGGTGATAGTACACAGCCCTGACGCACACCAGAGTTCACTATAAAAGTTCTTGACAACCCTACCTTCGATCTTATGCAGCATTTACTACTTGTTTACAGGCTTTTGCAAATATTAATGAGATGATTGCTGATTCCTTTTTTTCCCATACATTCCCACAACATATTCCTGTCGACTCTATCAAAGGCTTTTTCTTGGTCTATGAATGTCAACAAACATGTCTTATCATGTTCTATTGCCCTCTCTGATAGTTGTCTCAATATATAAATGGCATCTGTGCAACTTCTGTTTTGTCGAAAGCCCATCTTTGCTTCTGTAAGTTGATACTCTATCAATGGTCTCAGCTTTTTTTCGATGATCTTAGCATACATTTTCCCAGTGTGACTGAGTAGTGATATTCCTCTGTAATTAGTACATTCCCTCTTACTTCCTTTATTTTTCCACAGCGGGACAATGACAGCAATCTGCCAATCTAATGGCGTTTCTTGATTTTCCCATGCCACCTGAAATATTCTCTTTAGCCATATTGCTCCGGTTTCTCCTGCTGCCTTGATGGCCTCAGCTGGTAGATCATCAGTACCTGTCGCCTTTAGTCTAGGGGCGGTTCGAATGACATATTTTACTTCATCCAATAATATACCTGGTTCTAGTTCCTCTGCTGTTAGTTCCGAGTTGTTTTTATGTTCTTCCCTGCTTTTATCTGTTTTATTGCAGCTAAGTAATGCTTCAAAGTAATTACTCCACCTTGCTAAAATTTTGGTAAGTTCTATTAAAGGTTGGCCAACTTCATCATTTATAATTTCTGTTGGGTTGTATTCTTCATTCCTGTTTCTCATGCCTTTGATTTTTTTGTAGTAGTTTTTCACTGCTGTTCTTTCTTCTTCAGCCAGCTTGCTTCCAAACTTTTCTCATGAATCTCTTTTTGCTTTTCTGATAGTTCTGTTTACTTCTCTTCTAATTATCCTGCATGTTATGTAATCCTCTTCTGTTCTGCTCCTCAGCCAAATGCCATAAGCTTTCTTTTTACTGCTCACAATTCTTCTTATTTCTTCAGACCACCGTGTTGAGAGCTTACGCACTATGTTACCTTTCCTTTTAGTTCCACATATTTCTTGTGCTATTTTCATAGTGGTGTCTCTGAAATTCAACCAAGAGTGTTTTGTGGAAGCTGTTCATAATTTTCCTGTAATTTTTGCTGAAACGCTCACCTATTTTCCTCACACTCTAGTTCTTTCCATTTTATTATGTCACTTTTATTACATTTCTTTTTTGTTTGATAACTTATCTTGACTTTTCTGTCAAGTATCACCATCTTATGATCTGTATCTAAACTCAAGTTTGGTATAACTCTCGCATCTGTAACTTGATGAAAGTCTTTTTCTCGTCAAGATGTAATCAATCTGACTCTTGGTATCTGGATCATTCCATTTATACCATGTAAAAACTTGTGAAGCTCTATGTTGAAAAAAGGTGGTAATAACAAGGTCATGTTGTGCACATATATCCAACAGTCTTTCACCATTTTCGTTTCTAATGCTGTTGTCTCCATAATTGCCTAGGTATCTTGTAAATGTTCTTCTGTCTCGTTAAAATCCCCCATCACGATCAGTTTCTCGTTATTATCTATCTCACAAATTTCCTCACCCAGGTCCTCAAATAATTGATCTAAATCCTCCTAACTGTAATTTCCATTGCACGGAGCATATATCTGAAAAAACACCTCCGAACTATTTCCCACTTGTAATTTCAAACTTATAATTCTTTCCGAGATGTAGTTAACTTCAAGTATATTTTTTGCAGTTTCGGGATCGATGACAAATCCTACTCCATGCTTTGCACGTTGCATTTCCTCTACTCCCGATTGTATCAAAACATAATTTTTATGTAGTTTCTTCATTCCTCGTCCTTTCATTCTCACTTCTGATAAGCCTAATACTTTAACATTATATTTCTCCATTAATTCTATCACTTGTTTTTCTATATTGCCCCATCCACATATATTGATTGTCCCTACCCTGGTCTTAACCTTCTGCTGGCCTCTATTTTCCCTATTTCTAAAACATCTCCTTTTTCATCTTGGGCATTTCTTTTTGAACCGCTGAATCCTCTGCCGACTTGCCGGGCCTGTCACGAATTCATCTTTAACTGAACAACTACACTAATCTAACACATTGAACGTTCTTTCCGGGAATAAACACTTCTTTTAGTCACAATTTTCTGCGAACATTGTTTACGCCGCCATCTTGGCCAGATTAGTCTGGCTCTGTGTAACATGCAATAATTATTTTACTAACATCCATTGGCAACAGTCTTGACCGACTGGCTAAACTAGATAAATAAGTGAAATAGGAGCCAAATTCTACTATAAGTGAATGTCCATCTCTAGTACACAAAGTTTTTCATGTGCGTTCAGGGTCCCATTGTGAGAGAAAAAGGAATAGACCCATTGCCCGCCCAAATAAGCATGTAGTAAAAGTAAGTTACCTAATTAAGGGTGTTTCCTTCAAAGTTGTTGTGCATCTGCTTACAAATAAGCCAGATCTGTAAAACGGATGTGCATACAAGTTTTGTAACCTGGCTAAAAAAAATCCACAAAAAAAAGAACAAAAATTTTCCACCGGAGTTTACAGCCATTGAAGGCCAAGAAGAAGAAGCAGAAATATACGAAGACTGGGACGGCAAACAAGGTGAAAGAATCTGTATAGATCTGTGGCTTGTAAAACAAAATAGCAGAGTTATGTGGTGCAAGTGTGGTTTGTTTGCGACACGATAGAGAGCATGGATTCCCATTGTAGAAGAGAACTGGGACCTCACCATGTACCATCCTAAAGTTAACAATGGAATCACAGACAAATAACACAAGAGACAGAGTATGTTGGAGATCCATTGCAGCCAACCATCATTATGGAGATGGCACCTGATTGATTGCCAGATTTATTGCATAAGATGTTCTTCATTTGATAAAATGCAGTTTTTGCTTGTTCATTATCGTCCAAAGATTCATAAAACTGGTTCTAAGTAACATGCAGGAATTCATGTTCTAATCTCCAGTGACAGGAATTTATAGCATGCAGTGTAGTTTTTGTTTTCTTCAACTCCAACACACCACTTTGAAAACAGAGTGCTTTTCAGATTATTTGGAGCTATCAAATATACTGAAGCTGGATATTGAGCTGACCAAGAATTCATATAAACTGTTCCACTGGGGTTCTTGGGCTACACTGTGGAAGAAAAAAAAAAAAAGAATCCACTACCCATTATAATGCCCCCAATAAGCATAAAGCATGTTGTTTTTTTTCTGCTTCTTCTTTTGTTGTCTCACTGATACCAGATTGTAGCCCAGTGCCGTGGCTTTCTGTGTTTCTCTTGCTTGCTTCCCGGGTGGCTCAGGTGATGGATTTTTAAAATCTTTTTACAGGTTTCAACTACACCATTTATCAATCTCTTTCTTGGTATTCCCCTCGCCTTTCTCCCAGATTTGTAAAAAGTCTCATAGGCAGTTTGGTCTGGCTGTATTCTAGATGGCTGAACCATTTTGTTCTTTGTCTGTCAATATAATCCAGACAGGATCAAATTCCAAATTTCTAATGCTGGTATTCATAACCCTGTCCCTTCTTGTTAGTGATCTTGCGGAGACAGCACATTTCACATGTAGTTATTTTGTTTTAGAGCTTTATTATTCATTGTCCATGTTTGGCACTGATAGCATAAAGTAGGGACAAAGATGCTATTAATCATTTGCTATTTTGCTGGAAGGGAGACATTTGGGTGTCAGAGCAGTGAAGCTAACTGGTAGGTGACAGCATTTGCCTTCTGTACTCTGGCTTCTATGTTGAAATCATTAAAGAGGACTGAATAAATGTTTCCTTCAAAGTGGGAGTGC